ATAATAACAATAACAACAACAACAAGAATAATAACAAGAATATTAATAATGATATTAATAATAGTAATAATAATAGTAGTAGCATAATCATAATAATAATATAAAAATCATAATAACACCGACAACCGTCACCATCGACTACATGCTTCATATAAACCATTACGAAACCTTAGCCTTTTTAAGTGTATGTTACTCGAGGTGGATGGCCTGAACAAACGCAAAGAATAATTAAAGATAACGAAAGCGAAAAGATATTATTAGAAAAAATTATTCTTTTCCTTAAAAAAAAGGAAAAAAAGAAAGGAGAGAGAAAGTAAGTGCATCATTTGGTTTGTCTATGTGATACAGAAATAAAATATATACGTAAAAAAATGATATATTGCACAGAAATAATATATATTGGAAGCGGCAGCACATGCAAGTTTCATGTCCCAATTTTCTTCCATCATTCAAACTATAACATAACCTTGATGTTCTAAGAATATAATTTTTGTTTAAGTTAAAAAGAAAACAGGATAAAAGAAGGCACTTTAACAAAAATTAAAAAAAATACTGATTACTGAAATAAATTGCACTCAAAATGGCCACTCCTATCTTCACTTTTATTTGCCTGTTGAAAAAGAAATCAGCAACAGTGGAACTGATGGAATAATTAACAAAACAAATCATATATGATGTTTAAATGATTTTACTTCAAATTTCAGAAGATTACAAAAAACAAATGTAAGTTCTTCGGCAAATGAGGAAAAAATCATCAGCACTTGATTAAAAAGAGTTCAGTAATCCAATATATAAATATAGTTATCATCAATTACAAAATAAAATTTGTGCATAAAGCATCTTAATGCTTTATGCACAAATGACTAGCAGTACAGAGATTACAAAACAGCCTTAAAGTTCTACCATTATTCACAAGATAACATTTTGAAAAGTTTTCTCAGATATAAAAAATTATGCAAAAAATCTGAAAAAAGGTAATATACTATGCACTGATATATGACAGCTGCCCTTACACTGAAGCACTCAGAAGTATTACAACTCCTCTGTTCCTTTCAATTGCAAAACTCTTTTGTACTATAAAGCTTCAGCCAACAGCACAACTAATAAATTTTCTAAGGGGTATATGTCATTTGGCTAAAACTACAAGGCATGGAAGAAGAGCATATTAAGTTTATACAACCAGAGATTATGCTGTATGGATTAAGCATATATTTCATCCATACGTATCAAGCTTCACTGTGTCCCGCACCGCTTAGCACGGTTCCTTTGATGTTCTGGACGGGAACATCGAAGTAGGGTGTTCTTGGAGGTACGCCGCAGTCATACCCCAGCTTGGCAAAGTCCTTCATCATTACGTTGAAGGAGACCGTTACCTCTCCTTGTGATCTTACACGGGTTACTGAGGAGGCAATGAATATTAACTGTTGTTGTAGCTCTCAAAGAAATGCCTGGCAGATCATGATATCATTCCATGTGAAAATAATGATAAGGGGGACCACACTGAATGTCTGATAGCCTCGACCTACAGCTTCTATAGGTCACCACCTCCCCCTGTGCTATGAATAGTGAAGGAACTAAAAGCCCAGAAGGGCCTCAAACACCTGAATGCTGAATCAGCACTTGCATGCCTCAGCCCATTTAGCCATAGTGCTCACATCTATACTGCTGGCTGTTAATCAATGCTTTGTGTTTGGTTTCATATGCACAAAGTGATTTCTATATTTGTATTACAAAGGTGTACTTTACATAAAACAAAATATATTAACAATTTCAAGGTTACATGTCCCTTTTTTCTCCTCACTGAAATGAAAACTTAAATCAAGAAATCTAATGAAGAGAGCAAACGCACCTTCACGTCCTCTGCCCTGTGCTATTAATTTTGGGTCGACAAACTCTGGTCTTCGTCCCGTCAGCCAGGCCATGAATTTTTGAATGGTAGATGCAGATTCTGGTACAAAGGTGGTGAGTCTGTTGGATTGCCAAATGGTTAATAGAATATATACATTACTTTTGTAAAAATTATATACACTTATTTCAACCTCAAAGATATTGAAAATGGATTAGATACATTCTTTAGATTTACTGCAATTCTTTTCATCACTAACTGGAACAGAATGAGAAGCAACCAACTTGCGTGTATGTTTTCCAGGAGCCAACGGAAGGTGACATGCTGTGTACCCCATAACAACCTCGTTTCCAAAGATATCTGTTCCATAAATACTCAGCACCAACTGGGGCCCTGTGGAAAAGGAAAGAAAAGAAAAAAAGTATATTCTTATACCAATTAATGCAATAAACCTATCACAAGCAAAGCATTATTGATATTTAATTGAATGGAAAATATCATAGAATATATATGATATAGATAGAAATGATAGCCTGCACTCACATCCAAAGGGATTAGTCGATTTGAAGGTAATGTCAATCGGAAAGTTCCAAGTGAAGATCTGTCTCTCGTCATCACTGCGACGTGTTATTTGAGAGATGCACTCTTCCAGACCCTTGTGCAAAGGAAATAACAGTTATCCTACCAGTTCAGTCCCTCTTCACACATGCTGTATATACATCCATAAGCGATGATGAAGATAATTATTGAAAGAAAAGTGAAATGTGATTACTACAACATTTCTAAGTCTAGCTTTTCAAATTATAATCTTAGGCTCCAATAATAGTACAACTCTGATCATGAATCAGATTCTCAAAATCTTATTCATCACAAGAAAATCCGGCAGAACGTCTGGGATTAATGCATAGATGCTCTTAGCTTATTTTCAGGTCATTCAATCTCATGTCATTCAAAGACAATTTATAGCCATCTTGTTCTGAACAACCACGTAAGTTGAAAGACACCTTGCCCAGGGACCCCAAAGATTTTCACTCACAGAAATGGCCTCCCAGTCTTGCCCCGAAGTGAAGCAGTACGAAAAATAAAGATTATCTCCTTCGATAAACTTTCCACTCTCCACCTGGCCTGTCACGTTTAGCATGAACACACTGGGAGCGCTGACGGACATCTTTTGCTGGTGATCTGCGAGGTACTCCCTGGACAGCAATCTTAAAGAATGATATAAAAGGTAAATGATTTTTTAAAATATAAAGTAATACATAGAAAAATAAAGATAATGAAAAATTATTTTGAATGAAAGTGAAATTCTGAAGAGGGTGACTAGATTTTTTTTTTTTAATATGATTAACATTTTGTAGTTTTGAATCTTGAATTCCAATAAGAAAAAAATACTACTATAATTTTTTTTTTTTTTTACATGAAGGTAAACAGTTAGCTGGGTGAAAGCTTATTAATATCAACAATAAATGAAAAATACTTAGTCTCTGCCACATACTTTCCAGAATTAATGCAATATCACAACTAGCACATTAAAACTGCCAGATTTTCCTCTTTCAGTGTAACTACTGTAGCAAATGCTATGCAATGAATGTTCTTTTTTTGACTAATATAAAAAAGAAAAACAAAATCTAGATACACTTTACAACTGCTATGAATATACCTCAAGAAATTATATAATCCTAACACAGAAAAAAATGGTAGAGTAAGCAAGCAAAAAGGTGAAGTAAACTGTAATGTTCACCTAATAATTGGTCTGAATAGGCCTCGGTCAAGTAATGTGGTGTTCCTCCTGCCCGGCACTCCAGCAAAGGCCAACTACGGATATCTGAAGAGATCAAACGTAGACTGACCCACATGTACATGCATTCTCCACTTGGGATCTGTTTTATTACTTTTACTTAGACTACAATGGCTCCAGACATGCTCAGTCAGCAAGAAGGATATTCATTGGCCTCACCTGACATATTTACCCCTTTATTTTAATTTTTGGAAAGATGATTTAATTTTTATTATATTTATTTTGCTGATAACATTACGATTACGATAACTGTATTGTTAATAATGATGATAACAGCAATCAAAACATGAATCTGTTTTGCCAAAGAAATCAAGGGATGTGGTTAACAGAAGGATTTAAGGCCTAATGCGTGACTCTGGCGCTGTCGACTCTAAACCAAACTGATAAAAGGAAACCACAGTGGGGAGTGCATGTACAGTCTGCGACACCAATGGGCTAATTCTGAATGTGACAAGCAGCCTGAAATCTCGATTAGCCTTGCAAGAGTGAACATGATAAAGGTCTCTTTTGCAAGAATGTATATATTAACCCAATGACGCCGGGTGTACTAAAGGAAAATAAAACTCTACGCTCTGGCAAACAAAGGCAGCGCGCCGACTTTGAGCGCAGGAGTACGGGGCGTCAGCCCGAATCACTGGCTCGCCGCGCTTTGGCGCACCGCCGGCTGGTTTGGCCGCACGCCACCTTGGCCGCACGCCACCTTTCGAGCGATTTGTTTACACGCGTATCGCCGTCACCCGGCGGCAAGGGGTTAAAGGTCTGTTTGCATTTGCCTGAATCTAACCCTGAAGCCGCATCAAAATACTTAGCTACATTCATAATTCATAGTATCGTTCCATGTGTTCTTTATTGTAATTCTGTTATTATTTCTCTCTGTCAATGCTATCCTTGAAAATTATCATTTACTTTCATGTGTAAACCTAATTTCTGACAAGAATTGCGTTTAATAATCAAGTATTCACACTTTGAAGTTTACTCGTCCTTACTCCTTATGTTTGTAACTAGAGATGCAAGGACAAGTGAAGCACAAGAATATCTAATAACAGAAAGCAAAAAGAAAATTAAAGCCCAAATTTTACTTACAATTAAATTTTCCGTGAAAACCCGACCGCCTTCTTGGGTTGTTTACAAACAGAAGCACGTGGAAACCTTGGCAACCCATTGCCAATTAGTCATTTTTAATTGTATACATAGATATGTAATATATATATATATATATATATATATATATATATATATATATATATATATATATATATATATAGATATATATATGTATGTATGTATGTATGTATATATATGTGTGTATGTGCACATATATGTATGTATATATATGTATATACGTATATATATGTATATGTATATATACATATATATACACATACATGCATTTATATACATACATACATACATACATACATATATATATATATATACATATATATATATATACATATATATATATATATATATATATATATGTATATATATATATATATATACATATGTGTGTGTGTGTGTGTGTGTGTGTGTGTGTGTGTGTGTGTGTGTGTGTGTGTGTGTGTGTGTGTGTGTGTGTGTGTGTGTGTGTGTGTGTGTGCGTGTGTTTGTGTTTGTTTTCATGTGTCACTATTGGAGAATTACAGAAAACGCCGGTTTGCTCAGAGGTAGGCCTGTTCTTATGGACTTCCCCATATGTTAAAGAATTCTGTACTTGGTTCAGTATACCTAGTATTACAGCTAGAACAATTAAACATATATACATTGTTTGAACATAGGTCTGAAACAAAAGTCTCTCTCTTTAGAAAAGTGCTGATAGTATGGTAATTCGTGAAAACTACAATGAATTGTACCTGGGCGAATTAATATTTGAGCAACTCACGCAATTTCTTTCGAACGCAATAACTTAATTGTCCGAGATAATGTAATTTGATGTATAGGGTTTTCGTAATGACAGACGTAAGCTGTAAATGCTAGTAAAACTTTTTATTTAAGAATAATTTCAGGGTGTTCAAAAAAATACTGCCTGGTAACCATTTGTTTCAAAGCAATTTAATAAGAACTTTATTTCCATATCAAAAAGGGACCAGGTGGAGCAAATGTTAGATGCTCTGTTGATTAAGGTGGATATGTCATTAACCTTGTAATTCTGTGGTGTGTAGCTCAAATAATGCATACCCAAACCAGTAAAGGTAGGTTTTTTGTAAACAGTAGTCCACAGGCGACCGTTTTCTTTGGTGATAGGCGTATCAAGAAGGGAAAGTTGGTTTTCATTTTCAGTTTCACAGGTTAACTTAATGTTATGATATTGGTCAATAAGGCAGGATAAACAGCATTGTACGTGATGGACAGCAGAATGTGTGGATCTAATAGAGGAACATTACATAGGGAACATTGGGACAGATCAGACCATGACGTCAGGTAGGGGTGTCAGGTGGGTGCAGCCAATATGTCAAGGGGCGAGAGCCGTCTCCCAGCGTCTGTCCCGATGAAATGGAGCTAACCAGGAAATTGATATTTTTATATTCATCATATTTTTCTGCTGCGTCATCATTTAAGATCATTAGCGACATAGCGATAGGGTGGGGCTTAGTTAATGGTTGATGGTTAGAAGAAATAAATGTGGTACACGTCAAACGTCATATAGCACCATGGTAAAGTATTGTGGCGAAAAGGGTGGAAATGAGTTAACGATCAGGATAAGATGTATTAAATGTAAAAGTTTGTAGAATCCTGTAGGAAATAATATTAGTGAAAAGGCTATAGAGGGGGAGCAAATAGAATTACAGTGTAAAAGGTATAGGACGATCAGATCATTTGGAGAGTATGTGTCTGAGGAAAGGAAATTAACACTGTATGGGAAAACTACAAAAAGAGCTATTATGAAACAAAAAGTAATACTGTAAGAAACGATAATTGTGAAAGTAGGAGATTCTCGAGAATGAAAGAAGGGAACAGATTATGGTGGTGAAGTCTCGGGAAGAGTGACAGAAGGGAAGGGATCCCCAGAAGGACACTGTTGTGACTCACCCAATGTCAGCGGGCTTATTTACTGTCCCCTTTAGATTTTAGTGAGTTTTGTCACCTACAGATGGCTCCACGTGTGCTCAGCAGCAAGGAGTCTATCAGTAGCCCTAGTGACCGATCCTGATTTCACCTTTCCTTGAATTGGCGAGAAAATACGTTTTTCTTTCCATTACTATTAATATTGACATAGTTATCATTCTTATTGATATTTTGATTATTACATTATTATTAAAATTATTAACAACATCAAATACAATAAAATAATGGAAGTGAGGTTTTCAGAAAATGAAGGAAAAGGGTAAACAGATGAGATAGGTAAGAGATAGCTAACAATAGATAACTTTTATTGCAGTGGGCATGGCATTTTAGTCTTGCCGCCCGCGCCCATTGGGTTAAGGGAGTCAGGTTAGCATCTAGATGGGGGCGATAAGGATAATGGGGAAGGAAGGAGGAATAGTGATCCACATGGAGGAGAGGATGGGGTGTTTTTGGGGCGAGAGAGAGGAAGACGGGTAGTAGGAACTTGAGGAGGATGGATATCGGCAGATACTTCGAATATAGAACGATTAAAGGGATTGGACGATCATTCTTTTGGGTCATGTTTATGAACTTTTGGTGGGTGTTGGAGAGGATATGGTAGAAGATGGAGTGGAACGTTTAGGTTGTCTGGTGCGACAGGTAGAGTGAGAAGGACTGAGCAGAGAAATTTGAACGGTCATGACCAGGTTGGGCATATAGAGGGCAGTAAGCTGAGGAGCGACAGCGTTTGGCTGGGTGGCCAAAACGCCATTTCTGACACTGACGGGGAAGGGTCGATATGGTCGAAAAGGGCAGGACACTCCATCAATATAAACTTCATGGAGGAGGTCATGTCTACGGAAGCTAATCTTGGCAATATTGACGTAGGACTTACGTTGGCGTTTGGGAGGAATAGGGTAGCACTAGACTGCCACTGTTTCATAGTCGACGAGGAATGCGAGCAAGTCGTTTTCACAGTCTGACCAGTCCTTGTCGTAGGCAGGACAGTCACTCGGAGAGAGAGAAATAGTTCTGGTACAAGTATTAAGGGAGGAGTGAGGTTGGGCAGGGAAAGGTTAGTCAAGGTAGATACTGCACAAACTTGGGACTCAGATGTAATAAGGGAGGTGGGGGTAGACAGTGAAGTAAACTGCAGTAGATGAAGTGGAGGATGGTGGGAGAGGGGAAGGGATGTATTCTGAAGGTTGAACAATGACCTGGGTGGATGATTCGAAATGGATAGAGTTGACAGCAAATATCGAGGTTGTATTAGTATCAGTCGGGGTCATGGTCAAAGGAGGCAGGGGATGAGAAACCAATGGAATCAAATTTATATTGGCTAAAAAGGGCAAGCTTTAATGCCCCTAATAAGGGTAAAAGTTTTTCAGGATTGGCCATGGTAAGCCTGAAATAAATGGGGAGAGGAAATGGTCAACCCCTCAGGGTACCCATAAGGGTAAGGGGTAGGCGATTAAACAAGGGCCATTCATGACTGACACAAAGCCAGCCTTTCATCCTTTCAGCACGGCTCTCACACCTTAGGAAGTGGACAGAAAAAAGGGTGATGAAGTGGACCTTGTTAGGGAGAATGGTTAATGGTTAATGGGTAAAAGCAAGATAAATGTGCTAGACATCTAAGGTCATGTAGCACTATAGTTAATGTTAGTGAAGGGTGGTTGAGTTAGTGATTAGTTGTCTAAGCTGGGCAAAGGAATTGGTGAGTGAAAGGGTTAAAGGTCGGGTGTTAGATTAAAGTATGGACTAGACATAAAGGGAATGTGGGGAAAAGAGAAAATGATAATTGGGGATTGGTATTGGAGGATGTATAAGAAAGGTTTCTTGAAGGCATACAATAGATGGGTTATAAGAGGAAAGGATATGACGAAGGTCAGGTCTGTGGGAGCGGAAACCGCGAATATTCCAATGAAGGATAGTTATACTTTCGTTGATTTAGTGATATAGATTGCAGTACGTGTTGGAGACTTTGAGGGGGAATCAGCTAGAGGGTGGGATAAGGACTGAGAGGTTTGAGATGGGAGAGATGTGGGAGTTGGTGTTCTATCAGGAGGGGTATGAGGAGATGGAGGGTCTGAGGAAGGGGATACTTGTGACATAAGGGATTCACGTGTGTATCCAGGAGGGAGTGGAAGGGATAGAGGGGATGGCGGGAGGGTTAATGTGGGCTGGGTTGGGGTCGGGGTCGGGGGGGATGGGCTGTGTTGGGAGGGGGTAGGAGGATAGGGTGTAGGGGGGATATCGTTAGGAGGGGGATGGATATCAGCAGTTACTTGGAGTGTGGAAGGAGCAGGGGTTGTAGGTTGAGTGTCAGTTTGCATTAAGTAATCTTGAATATTTTCAATAGTTTCTTCTGAGAAGTTGGTTGGGGAGTTGTGGGGGATAAAGGATTTCTTGTGAGGGGGGGAAGAGAGGACTGGTGTCTCAAGAGTAGGGGCAAAGGATGGTGGAGGTGATTGTGTGGTAGGGGAAGAGGGGGTGGAACGTTTGTTCTGTCTGTTACGGGGAGTGCGAGGAGGGAGAGGGGAAGGTGTTGGGGTTGTAGTGGTGATTGGAGTATCTGTAGTAGAGATTGGAGTTTCTGGATTTAGGATGGCAAAAGAGTTTGACTGGGGAAGGTAGGTGGGGTTAGTGGGGGGGTTAGATGTAGGAGGGGTGGGTTTAGGAGAAGTGTTAGAATGAGCAGTATTACTGGAGTAAGAAGTAAGAGAGAATCCACGTCGACGTGCTTCCTGTCTGGCTTCACGCAGTGTGAGTCCGAGTTTGAATCTGAGAGTTGCTATCTCAGATTCAAATTTGTAGGTGGGACAGCCCCTATAAAATACATTATGGGGGCCGCCACAGTTGGCACATGTGCGTGATTGTGCAGAGCAGTTAGATCGGGTATGGCCAGGTTGGGCACATAATGGGCATCTGGCTGTGGAACGGCAGTGTTTGGCTGGGTGTCCTAGACGCCAACAATTTTGGCACTGACGTGGAGGAGGTTGGTATGGACGAACAGGGAGGGATTCTCCTCCTATGTAGACTGTTAAAGGGAAGGTCATGTCTACAGGAAGGTAATTTTGGCTATGTTAGTGGGTTTCTTTCGATGACCTCTGGGGGGGATGGAATAGTATTGTACTGATGTTGCATCGTAGTCTGTGAGACAGGCAAGTAGATCTTCTCCACAATCTGACCAATCTTTGTCATAGATTGGGCAATTTGCTGGTGAGATTGAGACTGTTCCGGTGCAAGTATTGAGGGTTGGATGGGGTTCTGCTAGGATGGGGTTACCATATAGGTCAGTTAGTTTGTTAATGCTATAGCTTGGTTTTCGGATGTTACTGTTACAAGACAGGGAGCGGTCGGGTCGGCTACGGAAAGAGACTTTACCTACTTGTTTTTGGAGGCATTGTTGGAAGAGAAGGGTGTTGTCAGAGTAGGGAGCTGTGGGAGGGATCACGAAAAATCGGTTCCATTTGGCTGCACTGAAGAGAGTATTCAAGATTGTTTTAGAGATAGGGGTGGTAGAAGGGCGAGGGCGTGACGAAGATGGAGTAGTGTTGAGGGAGGTAGTGTTATGGAGAGGTGGGCTATAAGGCTGTAAGGTATTAATAAGGGAGGATGGGGTGGTTGATGTTGGAGGTTGTGGGGGTAGAGGTGTTGAAGTTGGGCATGCTGGGAGAGTGGAAATGTTCCTTGAGGGTTGATTATTGGCTACTGTACTAGTAGGCATTGGTGAAGGGGTAGTTATTGCAGTGTTCGGAGCCGTGGTCAAAGGAGAGCCTGGGGTCGGGGAATCGGGTGGGTTTACTTCGTTGGGGCTATTTGATAAAGGGGCAAGCCTCATTGCCCCTAACAGTGGGGATATATTTTCATTACTGGCCATGGGAAGCCTGGATTATGTTGGGGATAAAAACAGTCCACCCCTCAGGGTCCCCTTGAGGGGTAAGGGCTAGATAACTAAATCAGGGGAATACCGTGCCCATGGCTCCCTCAGGCCGTTCAGGACTGGCACAAGGTCAGCCTTTCATCCTTTCAGCACGGCTCTCACACCTTAGGAGGTGGATAGCAGAAGGGTTTGGTGAAGGGACAGAAACGAAAGTGGGAAGGGAAAAAAAAGACCATGCATAATTAGTTGAGTCGAGGGCTGAGTCCCAAGGTTGGGGAGTTCCCCATCATTGGGTCCCAGTCTCCGTCTCCTAAGCCCCCCCCACGACAACAACGGGCAAGGGATTGGGGGGGTGTTAGGGAGAAGAAAAGACCGTGCAAAATTACTTGAGGCGACGGCTAAGGTACAAGACAGGATGATCCCCTACATTGGAGCCCAGTCTCCTAAGAGAGGGAGGGACGGGAGGGAGGGGAGGGGAGGGATGCATTTATAGTATTCTTTTCCTTCGTAAAAGTCTTCCTCCAAGTAATTATCATTATTTGTATTTTGAAGGTTTTTCTACCATGTATTTTTATGCACGTCTTTAGTTTTTAAAATATATACGTATAAACCTTCATGAATCAAAGAATTTTCCGATTGTTGCGTCATTCTGTAAAATAAATCTTACTAGTCTATAACCAGACTTTAACAAATACTCAGAGCAAATAAAGAAAGGCGAAACCACAAAGGAAGGACAAACGCGTTTCACATTTTCTTTTTACTTAGCAGTCCTCACCAAAAGTACACATGGAAGGATTGAGACTAATGGCGGCATTGTACTGCCTCGTGGCTTCCTCGTTTTGCTTCAGTATTTGGTACATATCGCCATAGTCTATCATTTTTTTTACGATGAAGAAGTCGCTGTCTGTTGCCTTCTGCCGGGTGCTGCTGTCGTCGATGGGAGTGCCGGCGTGACCCGTTTGGGTGTCGGTGCTTGTATTTTCTCCTGGGATGTTGGTATCTTTGTGATCCGTCTGGGTATCAGGCCCAGTGTGCTCGGTTTGGGTATCGGTAACTCTGTATTCACTTTGGGTAGGGGTTTCAGCGAATTCTGTTTGAGCAAGGCTTTGAGTGCTTTCCAAATCATGCCCTCCTGACAAATCATTTGCTACGACGTCGAGCGCATCATTAGAATCAGCGGCTTTCTGCTCTTCCTCCAACTTCTTCAGCTTGTGCTTGAATATGTGGTCTTTGATGTCCCCTTCCCTCCTCACGCTCTCAGGGCCGTTTTCCTTCAAAACTTTGTAGTAATACTTCTTTTTCAAATAGTCCTTGCGGTCGTCTTTATTGTAAAGGTCTTTGGAATAACCCTCTTCATCTTCGTCTTTTATGCTGTTTGAAGATTTACTTAAGTCATCCTTGTTGGCAGTGTGTGTGGTATCGTCTGTATTCGAAGATACTTTGCCGTCATCTTTGTAGAGATCTTCTATACCACCCTTAACCAGAGGGTCACTGATTCTACCTTTACTCCCAGTGTTCTTTATGCCATTATCAGTTTCAGCTCGTATATCGTCTACAGCAACTGCTGAACTTCCAACGATTTTTGCCATTTCAGCCCCTAGAGAATCACTCAGGATCTTGTTAACCAATTCTTCCGTAAAATTATCATTCTTTTGATCCTCCACATCTGCCCCCGAGTCGGTGTCCTCCGTGTGTGTGCTTGGAAGGGCTTCTTGGCTTTCATACTCCGAAGCTTCAATTACAAAGTAGCCCACCTCCTCGGGGAACAGGATTGTGTTCTGACGTGTTGGAATGGACTGCCAGAAACTTCGCAACTGAAAGATTAAAAAAAAAAAAAAAAATCAATAGTACGGTTATTTACTGGTATTATTTAAGTATTGTCAGAATCGTTTTATAAGGTGTGACAACAAGCTTTTGAATTTATTCTTGTATTAGTTTTCATTATCTTTTTAGAAGCCCCTGAATAAATGTAAAGGAACCAGAAAATAAACGTTGATGCTGACTTCTGGACCAACTTTTATATATGAACCTACTGCATAAAGTAGAACAGCCAGAGGTTAAAAGCAATCTCAAAATGCCCCCTTGCAATTCCAAGCCACGTAATTCCAATAAAACTCCTGATTTCCTTTGCCACTCCTCAGCATCACGTGTGCTGGAAGTCCGACCCACCTGCTCGCGGTGGTCTTCGTGCATCTCGGGCGAAGGCGTCAGGGACAGGTGAGGCAAGGAGGTGTTGGTCACCGGCTCCCATTCAAAGCCCAACGAGTCATCGGTTGTCGGTTTGCTGTTGAAACAAAAATCAGTTAGACTGCCATTGTTCGAGTAGCATTACTTAGTGACAGATGCAAGTGATTTGGGGGTATGTCGCTGCACAAAAAATGTCGAGTAGAAACGGATGATTTTGCTGTCTGGGTGATTTCCGTTTAGAGAAGGGACTCTTATTTTTGAAGAGCAGAGTAACCGAGCTACTTTTTTTTGTCAATAACTAGGCTCTATGTTGGTAACGATCTCTTTCCAGTTAATCGCTCCTTATTGCTTTAACCCATCTTTATCAAGTTGTTATAATGTCCCAGGTCGGCTGGATGTCCGCCTGAACTCTTAAGAGAGTCCAGTTTTGTTTCAACACTTTTTTTACACATTGTTTCCGTGTGGCTAATTCTTTTGAATTTGCTTGATATAACATTACACTTCAATATGTTCAAAAATGTCCTAGAACTATGTAGGCTGCCTTACTATTATGCCTCGACCTTCACTAGCACAGCCATTGATCATTCTTAAATTCCTTAGATCAGAAACAAGCATTTATTGGGAATGTATACAATATTCCCAGAGATACGTTTCTGCTTCATCAATTTTCCTGAATCAGAACACCTGACATCATCATATGCCTGAAATCAAAGTCATCAGGTTGTTAAACTAAATGTAGGGTAAATAAATATTGGGGAAAGCCAATATAGTCGTTCATCAAGAATCGATTGAAAACTGGAGAGTGTGAAAGAGTTATTGGACGGAAGTAGATAATTTACGCCATGAAAGAGCAGTTTTCGGCAACAAGTGCAAAATTCTGACAAAATAGGTTGACAGTCTCTACAGATCGTGTGATGGGTTAAGTGGTGCATTAGATCGATGGATCTTAGGTCAGCCACTCGAATGCAAAGAAAGAGGAATGCAAGAATGAGAAAAATTACTATTATTGGTATTAGAGTAGACACTCCATCTAAATGAATGGTTAATGGGAGGATACGGTGATCCGAGGATACGGTAATGAATAAATGAACATGAGAAATACTATTTCTCTAAGTCATATTTAACTACCCTTTTGAATACTAAGAAAAAGGCACTTAAGTTTGAATGAACAGGTAGCTATTAATTTTACTCTTAGTTAAATTACTTTTATCTCAATATAAAAAAAAAGGAAGGAGGAACCTTTATTAATTCAAAGAAATTATAAAATGCACAACCTTCCTAAAGAGCAAGTCTCAATGTATAAACTTCAATTTTAAAATAGATACTTGAGCAAATACAAATATATAACAGTAATTCTGAACAAATTTCATAAGAAATATTCATCACAGGATCATATAAAAGAAAAAAGCAACGTGATGTGGCTCTGAGAACAAGGCTTACATTAGGCAACTACAAGCATGTCAGTAACCCTTGATCTCCAAATACAGTGGGATACAACCACTGACATCTTCTAACTTAAGGAACAATGACTCAAGTAATAATCCCCTGCCATCTATTGGAGAATGTACTTTTGTTAAGGCTAGTCCATGCCTGTGCAGTTGGGTAGGGTAAGAAATTAAATAAAAAAAAGAAACAGTGCGACTCACCCTGTCTTGGCGAAGTTTGTCCAAAGAGTCGTGATTATTTCACCTGTCAAAAGGTCGTTGTGGGTCCTCAGATAAGGGAAGCCCATTGCTGCCACTAAAGAGGTACTGTAGGTCGTCTCCGTGACTTATCCCTGTCAGGGTGATCGGTTAAGGGCGTTAGTTTGTAAGAATACATTGCACAGTGATGATGAAGAGAAGTGGAAATAGAAGGAAAAGATGGAGGTAAAGGACACCAGGGAAAAATAAGAGAAAAAAGGAAAGGGGAATCAAAATTGTCGTGGAAAAGTACACACAGATATCTAAAAAAAATTACAAACTGGTATAAGCTGAAAGAATAGAAAACTGTGAAACAAAGTACAAGAAGCAAGAACATGTTTATTTTCCATACTCACACTCGCTATCGAAGAAAAGCTGGAACTTGTCAGTGCTCGAGGCAAGAGCACGATGATCGAGCTCGTAAAAATAAACCTTGGAGCCATGCCGGGCGTGCAAAATGGCCGTGTGGTCTGTGCAAACCGAGAAGTACCGGTCTGTGTACAACTGCAAATTGGGGGTGGTGTCAGGTATACTTTAGTGCAAACATGAACAAGAT